TTTGGTCTTGATGTGAATGAAAGGTAGAAGGAGACAAATAAGTACAGAAGTAGTATTATGTGGGCTTGAATGGGCAAAGTATTGGTAAAGGAGAGAAGAATATGAGTACAGAGACCACCCTCAGGTTGAAACTGAAAGAAAAATGTGCAACCTGAAATGAAGTGCCTCACTTGTTCATCATTCTGAATGATCAAGGCTTGAGGGGGTCAGATAGGGTTATTTTTGAGGGTCTGAGCGTGAATAAATGAAGGTGGCTACAGAGAGGTTGATAGAGATGAAAATTTGCACTTTTCTAAGAGGGGTCAATAGCTACAAGTTTGACTTCATAGGCCCAAGCCTTCAGTGAATTTGTTTGTGTTTTAAGTTGAAGTAGGAGCAGAACATGCAGTGTTTTATGGTTGGAGTGTAGATGTGAGGGTGACAGAGCTGAGCTACAAGAATATTTAATACAGATGGAAGATGTGCATTTCAAAGTGATGAAATAAACACTCAAACACTGGACCTCATAGTCGCACAACTTCAATGAGACAGTGGGTGTTTTATGGCAGAGCGGGTGCTAAACATCATATTTTGAGGGTTTGAGCGTGAATATAAAGGTGATTGAGTGGATGTATGAAGAAGTGGTGATATGAAACTATGTGAACCCACCAGAAGATTTTGGAGGATCAATTTTCAACTTCAGCTGTACTACTGAACTAGCTCCAGGTGGATCTGCAGCCCATGCATATCCCCCACTCAAACTGATCTTGAGGTCAATTTGATATTTAATTGAGACTGTTTTGAGGTGAATCGTACTCACTGGCCTGCCAGTGAGTAGTAAAATGTCACTGTGAACCCTTTTCAACGACAACTTCGCCGGACGTGGTAATCGAAGTCTACGAATGATACGAGCTAAAGAAGGTTTTCATCTACCCGACGGTCTTCACATCGACAACTTTACTTGAATAGCTGAAGTTTTGAAGGGGCTTGGCTATTCAGGACTAATTGCAGCTGCTTCGGATCAAACTGTCTGTGTCAAGCGTCTTTGCCACCATAATGGTTTCTTGGTTGGAGCTCAAGGAGGTGATATTGCTTTCACCGATGCGTCTGAGCTTCCAGAACTTGTTAAATCCGTTGTCAAGAACAAGGAGCTCTTCTCCAAAGTAAGTCTTAGTTTTCTCGAAAATCTAAAATATTATGTAACTGTTAAATGCTTATTTATCTATCCCTATCCAGATTCGAGCGTATACAATTCAAGTTCCATTACCTAATGTGCCTAATTTCATAGTAGCATTAATTGCTAGTTGCGATAAGGAGACATCTAATGATATATTAGAAGGTCACACGAAGTTCATGGAATTATCTTGCCAATCCGGTCTCGATATTCTTTCAATTGGCGCAGACGGTGCACCAATTGAACTATCCGCTCAAGCTTTGCTATTCGAATCAGCGGACCGCTACTTTACTTACACAAACTCGAATTACGATGTTCAAAGTCAGATTCCCCTGTTTGGCCATCCTCCACGACCAGTTGTCATGGTTCAGGACCCTAGACACGCTCGTAAAACCGGTGCTAATCAGCTGGCCTCTGGAGCTCGTCTCCTCACGATCGGGAACTATTACATATCAATTCAACAACTTGCAGCCATTCTCCAGTCGGGGCGCAGTCCACTCCTTCATAGAGATGTATTCGATTGCGATAAGCAAGATGATGGGCGAGCCTTTTGCACCTTAAGTTCCTCAACACTAGCTGTCTCACTTGCAAACAAAGAAACACTTGGTTTGTCAATCTACCTCTACGTTGTTGGAGAGATGTGTGACGCTTGGTTAAACCGGTCTATTGGACATTGCGAACGTCTTCGAGCCGCCTGGACCGCCGAATTCTTCTTCAGACACTGGAAGAAGTACCTCCTCAACAGACAATCTGAACCTCACAAGCTGATGAGTTTCTCTCAAAATTGTATATCGCCTCAAAGCTTCAAGATATTTTCAACTCTTGCGACGTCCCTTCTCCAACTTGTCATTGCTCATCGAGAATTCTATCTGACTTCTCCTCTACTCCCATGGAAACATGGAAGTGAACCATGTGAGCATAGCTCCGGCTGGATGCGCGTGATATCTCCGCGATTCACTGTGCTGGATGCTTGGTTGATGATGCCTAAGATACATCTCATCGTAAAAAATATCATGTCAGGCCACATGAAGATACCGCCATCTGAACATATGCACTCCGGCTATCAGTATGCATTTGGCGACGAACCTGACAGCGATAACCTCAAGTTACTTACCAAATTCCCTTCAGATATTGAGATATCTGAAGATCTGAAGACTGCATATGAACGAGCTAATCACCTTGTCACGATCTCTGGAATGGGTCCACTCAACAATCTGATCTGTGACACTCCAGGCGTAGAAGT